CTTAAGGCAGAAAGTGAAGAACTAAAGAGCCTCTTGATGAAAGTGAAAGAAGAGAGTGAAAAAGTTGGCTTAAAATTCAACATTCAGAAAACTAAGATCATGGCATCTGGTCCCATCACATCATGGCAAATCTATGGGGAAATAATGGAAACAGTGAGAGACTTTGGGCTCCAAAATCACTGCAGCTGGTGACTGCAGCCATGAAATTAAAAGACGCTTGCTCCTTGGAAGAAAAGCTATGGCCAACCTAGATAGCATATTAAAAAGAAGAGACATTACTTTACCAAAAAAGGTCCATCTAGTCAAAGCAATGGTTTTTCCAGTGGTCATTTATGAATGTGAGAGTTGGACTATAAAGAAAGCTGAGCACTGAAGAATTGATGCTTTCGAACTGTGATGTTGGAGAAGACTCTTGAGAGTCCCTTGGACTGCAAGGCAATCAAACCAGTCAATCCTAAAGGAAGTCAGTCCTGAATATTCACTGTAAGTACTGATGCTGAAGCTGAAACTCCCAATAGTTTGGCCACCGGATGTGAAGAACTGATTGATTGGAAAAGACCCTGATGCTGGGAAAGATTGAAGTCGGGAGGAGAAGGGGATGACATAGGATGAGATGGTTGGATGGCATCACTGTTGTGATGGACATGAGTTTGAGTATACTCCAGGAGTTGGTGATGGACAGGGAGGTCTGGTGTGTTGCAGCCTGTGGGGTCGCAAAGAGTCAGACACGACTGAGCAACTGAACTGAACTGAAACTTTGATACAAGTAATTATAAAGATGTAAAGAGAAGTCTAAAAGGTACCTAAGGCTGGGGAAGTGGACACTAGGAAGAACAAACTCAGAAGGGGTCCACCTCCATGGCTGGAGCATGACCTCCTTGCAGAGACTGTGATCATAGCCCTGGATGGCAGAGAAGTTTGCTGGGTTTCCTGGACCAGAGGTGGTCCACAGTTGCTGGATGGCAGAGAAGTTCCCCCTGGGTACAAGTGAAATGAGACTGATGGGCAAGAATATAGAGTCTGGGCACCATTGGCGATGTGCGGCTGGAGCAGAGGGGTGCCTACATCAGAAGGGCCACAGTGAAGGCATGGACTCCAAAGTCACCAAGCAGCTGGGCATGCAGTCTGGTCATGCAGCTGGGATGGAGCAGCACTTCATTCCCCTCTCCCCTCAACAGATTGTGCAGCAGGAATAAGATTCACACCAGGAAGAGAAGCCCCCTTCTTCCTGCAGTGTTCCTCTAATACATGGCTTAGTGTCATACTCACTGTCAAGAGGTGCCTACAGGGTCTGGTCTGTTAGAGCAGAGACTAAAGGGTGAATTTGGAGCAGAAAGGCAATAATGTAATAATGGGTGATCCAAAACTATGTGAATTAAATTAGGAAAAGCCACCTAATCTGTCAATAACTCCCTTAACCCCTGTTCATTTCCCTTTCTTTCAGTCCCATAAATTTTACCACCAATAAATGTCAAAGCTCTCTAACTTCTCTTGTAATTTACTCTCTAGCAGCTCATTTGCCCCTGGGGTGTTGCGTCTGTTTTGTTTTCTTAATGAGGCACATGTCTTCTCTGGCACACACTTAAAAGAGACTCAAGTGAAAAGAGAGAGAGTGAAACACACAAACACCCTGAGACCCGGTGTTTCATTTTGTGTTTCATGTCTCCACTCGAACTTATTTTCCCACCATTTCTCCATTTCATTTCAAAGCAATCTACCTCTCCGTCCCAAACACTTTGGGAGTGTCTCCAAGCACTTGAATTCACCTGGCCATGGTCAGAATCAGAGCTGATCCAGGAACCAGTCTTCCTCTGCCTTTAAGGAAAATACAGTGGCCTCCTCAGTTCACTTGATTGGGGAGTCAATCTCTTTGAACAGATCTGAAGAGTCCAATATCTAACCATTATAGAAGAAAATTGGTGACAGAGCAAACAGCAGCCTGGCCAGATAATTACCAGCACAAATATTATTCAGAAAGCATTTGGAAAGGACTAGCAGTTTCAACTTTAAAGAGCCCTCCAGATGCTATCCTGGGGGAGAACATGTTATTAATAGGCTCCAAATTTATGTCAAGACAATGTTCTTAGGCATCAACCACCCTCTTCTTCCAAAATATTTCGTTCTCTTCTGGCGAGTCAGATTTAATTAGTGTTAGCAGATGATTCCCTTGTAGGAATTAGCTGAACAGTGAGATAGGGATACAATTAAGACTTTCTCCAAGGATGAAGTGATTTGCGAACTTAATCTTTTTACTATCCTTCAGGAGTGATGAGAAGATATCCCTGTAAGGTCAGAAAAAAATGGCAGTGGGGAAAAGTAGACGAACTTAGTCTTCCCACCAGAGTGTATATCTATATACGTGGTTCTCTTACATATTTCTTTGCAAGTGTTGGGCATTCTGGGCCTGTAGAACCAAGCCTAGATTGACAAGAAGCCATCTCAGTACTTTTTTAAGCTCCACCTTCATACCCCTATGTGTACCAAAGAAATCGTGCTTTTAAATGATCAAGAATAATACACTGGGTAATGGGATTGTGGACAGTCTATATTTTCTTCTTTTTGTTTATCTGTATTTTCTGCAATGAGTGTGTGTTGTTTCCAAAATTAAATATATGTAAACACTTTAATGAAAAAAAAAAAAAACCTTATTTTTCTTCTCTAAATCTCAGGCTGTATTACTGCTTTTTGTCTCCTATCTACCCAGAACCTTTTTAGCCTCTTCCCTCTCCCTGTTTAGATTAACTGCCAAAAATCAGCAGACTTCCTTTTTGGAAGAGATTTATTTCTTCACTCTTGAACTTCTAAAAACAGCTTGTTTTATCTTCTTCCCCTCACCAAGCGGTGATTGATGCTACACCTGCCTCTGATGTGACAAAATGTAAGCGATGAATAAAAGCTTCTCATGATTCTTGCACATTCTGAGGCAGCGGAAAGCTCTCACCAGGGGCCCTGAGCCATGTGAAGATGCTCTGTGGGGAGTCATTCTGCCTCACACACCGGGCCAACTTGTGGGCACCTTGAGGATCTCACCTACCGTCACTAACCTTTGATTTGTTGCTCTGCTCTTTCAGATTTTTGACAATGAAGCCAAAGACCTGGAGAGAGAAGTTTGCTTTATCGATATTGCCTGTGATGAAATTCCAGAACGTTACTACAAAGAATCTGAGGTGAGCAATAGACGGGTTGTCATGGGGAAGAGAGTTATTCTTTCAGCAAACTTGTGTTAAGTCCACCCTGACCCAGGACACATCCATCTGTCTTTGTGTTGATTCAATTTACTGTTACATCTTACTGAATTCTTTACTTTGAGACTCAGAGTGGAGTTCCTACTTCTTGGGGCCCATCATTAACCCCAGCTGCCACTCAGTTTCAATGTAGTCTTCTGTCTCCCCAGCTCTGCCATCATTCTGGACAGCAAAATAACTCGCAAGGCTGAACCACACAACTGAAAACTGGCCTATAAAACACAGTGGCCACCTCTGGCTTCCTGTTTGGCCAGGCCTGGGCCAGCCTGTCTCCTCCTCTGCAGGGGCTGTGTTTTATTTATGCCTTCGGGGTCTAACACAAAGAAAAGGCTCAGTGAGTCCTCCCTGAGTGAATATTGAAACTTGGGCAGCTTGTCTCTGCACAGAAACTTCGTCTCAAAACTGAAAGGACCTTCATAAAGCTCTCTCCTTTTTTTTATCTTGACTGAGAATAAATTTAAGAAAATATCTTTCCGTATGATTTCCACCTGCCAGAATCCACTGTTTGCCTCAGTGCAAACTTTTATCCTGTTAGTATAAGTCACCACTTAGGGCCTGTTAGTATTTTATTAATGGCTGCTGATGGAACTTGGGTGACCCCCTTGTAAATAACGTCCCAGCCCTGCAACAACAGATGCTGGGCTATTTTTGTTGTTTAGCAACATGCAGCCAATCACAGTATGTTTGGACTCGTGGCCCTCTTCTCATCCTTGAGCGGTAACACATGGACCTTGAAACTCTTTCCTCGGCTTCATTAAGGCTGATTTAAGATGTAATAAATAAACCCGGTAAGAATGAATCCCACCGTGACGCACGCTGGGCTCTAAGTGTGGTTCAGATGTTTTTTGCCTCCACCTTTTGGGATCCATTTGGATGTCAGAGTCTAACCCAGTCTTAGCGAATGCTTAGCTGCCTAATTGCAGGCATGTGCTCTGCAGCTGCTGTCCCTTCAAATCTTGGGAGAGGCTGATGGGAATGCCTCTTGGTGGGACTCAAAGGCTGAGCCCTTGAATGTTATCCATTTACATTATACTCTGCAGCCAGCCACACTCATGAATTTTCAGAAAAACAAAGCAAAATGCCCTCTGCATAACTGTGGACCTGCTCAAGAAGAGAAATCTGGCCTCCCCTTGTCTTACTTTTCTGTGGTTTCATCTCAAGGCCACCAATACTTACAGGGCGTCAGTGATGGGGAAAGCGTCATGCAGAGCACTGGGTGAAGCTATTGCCTTGCCGCCTCTGTGGCTTCTTGAGCCTGGGGGACTGTTGTCTTACCTGAACATCCTGGTCCCTTTGGTAGCTCAAACCTTCTAGAAAGGCAGAGTTGCTAGAACACTCTGAACTGATTTCAGCTCTTCCTCTTAGATGGCTTCAGTGTGGTCCTGCCTGGCATCGGGAATCCCCTGATTCAGTGGAAAGTCTTAGCACAGATACAGAATACTAATGACAAAATCAACAAGACTCATTTCTGTCAGCCAGTGCCTGACTCATCTCCCTGAGCTTTGTGCTCCCAAGAACCAGCACCGGCAAGCTTTTCCTCATTGACACAGATACTCGAGGAACACTTTTTTCATGCTTCACTGTCATTCATTTTCCTGGGCCATAAAGTATTCTTTTCAAGATACAGTTTGACCAAGGAAATGAGAGGGGAGTAGTCACTCATCCAGTAAATATGTACTGAGTACTCACTGCGTGTCACAGACAATATTTAGATGGGGACATGGCAATGAACAGAAGAGACACAGAGGGTCTCTTCCCTTACAACACTTCCAGTCTAGCACGGGAGCCAGGCAATAAAGAACTAATCCCATAATAAACATGTGGAGTTAAGGAAGTTTGCAGGGAGAGACCATGATAAGGAAACTGAACATAAGAGGATGGGATCAGGAAAGATGCTCAGGAAGACATGACCCACAGGAGGAAAAGAGCTGGGGTCAGTGCTCCAGGTGGAGGTGACAGCATGCATGGGAGTCCCACGGTGACACCTGGGAGGAAGCAAAAGAGACCAGTGTGGCGGCAGCAACAGAAGGAAGAACGGCAGGCGGGGAGGTTGGGAAAGATGATGAGGCCACGTTAAGATGCTTAGATTTTATTCACCTGCAGTGGAATCCTCTGAAGGAATTAAAGCTGGGGCATCATGTGCTCTGATTTATGCTTTTAAAAGTTTGCTCTGGGTGGAGAATGGACTGTCCAGGAGCAGAGTGGAAGTCAGGAAACCACTGAGGTCATCGGAATTATCTACTGTGTTAGTTATTTAGGTTATATGTAACTTGAGCTGGAGGGCTGGGAGCAGAAGGTTCTGAGGTATCTACTGAAGATAGAATTGACAGCGATTGGTCATAAACTGGGTGTGAAGATAAGAGAAAAGGAAGAGTCAGGATGACCCTAAGGTTTACTGCGTGGACAACAGATAGATGGGGATGAGAGAAGAAAAGGAATGGATTTTGGAGAAAGACAGATAGATTTTGTGATGCCAGTGAGACATCTAGAACAAACAGAAATGAGTCTGGAGCTTAGATAAGAGATCTGGGATAGAGACAAATTGGGGAGTATTTTGGAAATAGAAGAATTTAAAGTCCTGAGGATGAATGAGAGTGAACAAGCATAAAGTATAAGTTCAGGTCCTAGTATCACATTTAGGACAGTAGTTGGAGATCAGAGAGAGGATGGTGAGGCCCCAGGAATCTGCAAAGAACTGGACAGAGAATTAGAAGGAAAACAAGAAGAAAGCACCAAGGGATGCAAGTTTCGAGAGAAGAGAGCGAATGGTTATGCTTAGTGCTACTGAGAAATCAAATAAGATAATGGAAAACTGTCTCCAAGAGCAGTGGCTCTCAACTGAGAGCATCCTTACCCCACAAGGATGCTTACAATGTCTGGAGACATTTTTGGTTGTCACAACTTGGGAGTGCTACCAACCGTAACCACATTCTAGAATAAACAGGACAGCCCCCACAACAAGAGTTGTTGTTTAGTCGCTAAGTTGTGTCTGACTCTTTTCTGACCCCATGGTCTGTAGCCCACCAGGCTCCTCTGTCCATGGAATTTTCCAGGCAAGAATACTGGTTGCCATTTCCTTCTCCAGAGGATCCTCCCAACCCAAGGATTGAAGCCAAGTCTCCTGCACTGCAGGCAATCGGATTCTTTACCTCTGAGCCACCAGAGAATCCCAACCCTCACATGTCAGTATGCCAAGGCTGGAAAATCCTGCCCTGAAAGTAAAGGTCATTGGAGATGAATTGGATTTCATTCATTGGCAGTCTGGATTTTGCTCTCACACCCAGAGCCACCCCTGCCTGTCCTGGAATCTTAGGGTTACTTAATGGATGTGGGAGAAAGGGGCCCCAGAAGGCTCGGCCCTACACATTCTGTCAAGCACTGCTTCCCAGACGATCACCAGCCTACATTACATGTAGAATTTTTTCTCACTGTCTCTGGCAGTTAGACCACAAAGGAAAGAGCATAATTGGGAATTGCAGTAAAACCATAGGAAAAGTGTGTTCCATGGGATTCCCTTGTGACCCAAACCCACCATCAGTCAACTTTCAGAATCCAGATTGTAGTATGAACCCACCAGAAGGGAGAGAGTGAGTTTCCAAGGCTGTTTGGGTCGTGTGTCATTAGCTAGGGACTGAGAATAAGGGCTGGAGATACCAAGGGAACATTTCATGCAAAGATGGACACAATAAAAGGCAGAAACGACATGGACCTAACAGAAGCAGAAGATATTAAGAAGAAGTGGCAAGAAAACACAGAAGAACTATACAAAAAAGATCTTCATGACCCAGATAACCACAGTGGTGTGATCAATCACTTAGAGCCAGACATCCTGGAATGCGAAGTTAAGTTGGCCTTAGGAAGCATCATGACGAACAAAGCTAGTGGAATTCCAGTTGAGCTGTTTCAAATCCTAAAAGATGATGCTGTGAAAGTGCTGCACTCAATACACCAGCAAATTTGGAAAACTCAGCAGTGGCCCCAGGACTGGAAAAGGTCAGTTTTCATTCCAATCCCAATAAAAGGCAATGCCAAAGAATGCTCAAACTACTGCACAGTATCACTCATCTCACATGCTAGCAAAGTAATACTCAAAATTCTCCAAGCGAGGCTTTAACAGTACATGAACCAAGAACTTCCAGATGTTCAAGCTGGATTTATAAAAGGCAGAGGAACCAGAGATCAAATTGTCAACATCCACTGACAAAAGCAAGAGAGTTCCAGAAAAACATCTATTTCTTCTTTATTGACTGTGCCAAGCCTTTGACTGTGTGTATCACAACAAACTGTGGAAAATTCTTCAAGAGATGGGAATACCAGGCCACCTTATCTGCCTCCTGAGAAATCTGTATGCAGGTCAGGAAGCAACAGTTAGAAATGGACATGGAACAACAGACTGGTTCCAGATTGGGAAAGGAGTATGTCAAGGCTGTATATTGTCACCATACTTACTTAACTTCTGTGCAGAATGCATCATGTGAAATGCCAGGCTGGATGAAGCACAAGCTGGAATCTAGACTGCCAGGAGAAATATCAATAACCTCAGATATACAGATGACACCACCCTTATGGCAGAAAACAAAAAAGAACTAAAGAGCTTCTTGGTGAAAGTGAAAGTTGGCTTAAAACTCAACTTTCAGAAAACTAAGATCATGGCATCTGGTCCCATCACTTCTGGCAAATAGATGGGGAAACAGGGGAAACAGTGACAGACTTTATTTTCTTGGGCTCCAAAACCACTGCAGATGGTGACCGCAGCCATGAAATTAAAAGACGCTTTCTCCTTGGATGAAAAGCTGTGACCAACCTAGACAGCATACTAAGAAGCAGAGACCTTACTTTGCTGACAAAGGTCCGTCTAGTCAAAGCTATGGTTTTTTCAGTAGTCATGTATGGATGTGAGAGTGGGACTATAAGGAAAGCTG